TTTTTTTTTAAAATTTAAATATAATATATTCAAATTTATATTTTATTCAAAAATAAAAACATTATAAAACTGTATTATATCAATAGACAAAGGATAAAAGGAAACAATAAAATCGAGATGTATCTCGCTGCATTGTACGAGTACCCTTCTTTTGTGTGTGTGTATATATATATATATATTTGAATTAGTATTCAAATATATGTATGTATATATGTATAGACACGAGGGAATATGTAACTTAACACGTCTAGTATAATTAAGCAGTTTAATTTCAACAATGTAATACGTCTAGAAATAATTAAGCAATTTAATTTCAACAATGTAATATATGCATCGTTCTCATAAACAGCCATTTGATCCTGTGATAATTGCATTTTTGAGTTATGAAACTGTAAAAATAATATGTGCCACTTAAATACCAATCAAACTAAAGTTTCATAGTTTCACTTTTTAGTTACTATTAATTATTATTAATGCTCATACAGTACTAGCTATGTTGTGTTTTTGATAATTAGATAATAATGTATTCCAGTTTGATAATATATATATATATATATATATATATATATATAAAAGTTCGAGCCGTAATAAAACAATAACCAAGAAAGTTATGTTTTTTTAAATTCACCAGTCTCATGCAATGTGCAGTGTTTAGTGCACGTTCTTGTAGTAGTGAAGACATTTCTTAGCATATCCCATAAAGACCTTGCAGTATTTTCTTCATTTTTTTGAGAAGTATTCATATTATTCAATTACATATTGATTTATTATCATATTGACAAATTGATGTCTGAATCTGAATGCATTAGGAATCCTCCACACTTTGTCTTTCTTATTTACGTTATTTTTGATTGTTTGTATATAAACAAATGTTACCCTTAAACGTTTGTCAAACCAAAGGTTATAATTTTCATTATTTAATTTGTTTATTTTTTGTGGAATATCCCAAAAAAAAAATGGAATAATTATATATAACAAGACGGAGTATGGCTTTAGTATTTGTATTGTTGCTGTTCAATTCAGATATTCCCATGTATAAACTGCATCTCTGAATACCTCTGTGTGTTACTGTAGCCATGAATCAGAAGGGTAAAAAAAGAGGATAAAGTAAAAGATCATCATGAGATTCATAGTAAAACACCATGTTTGCAGGGTTCAGTGAAGATCCAAACACATACATGTGAAGGTTACTGTTGCTTTGATGTCAGTAGATTCTTCATATATGCCACAGCATATATGCTTATATATTGTTTCATATTTTGTAAAAGGGCACTCTATGGCAAGCACATGAAGAAAACCTTTATTCAAGATCAGTTTAGGGTTACGGTTTTACCAAAGAAAGTGAAAACATGAGTCGTTTTGAAGTCCTTTTCCACTCTTTTTAGCTACATGAAATGCATCTTTCTAATTAGGCATCTCTCTCTCTCTCTCTCTCTCTCTCTCTCTCTATATATATATATATATATATATATGAAAAGCAGATGCATATGTGGGGACATGGATCACAGTATAGAAAGGGACCAGAGTCGTTAAGGGGATCCCAGCCCACATCAATGCCAAAGCTGCCATGCTACTGTTGTGTACTGGGGTGCAAGCACCACATTGACCATCCCAGATCAAGACCACTCAAAGACTTTAAAACCCTTCAAACACATTACAAGAGGAAGCATGGAACCAAGACATTTGTGTGCAGGAAATGTGGGAAAGCAATTGCTGTAAAGGGTGATTGGAGAACACATGAAAAGAACTGTGGGAGGGTCTGGTATTGTAATTGTGGTTCTGATTTTAAGCACAAAAGGTCACTAAAAGATCATGTTAAGGTGTTTGGTCATGGTCATGGTCATGGTGGTGCTTATGGTATAGATTTCATTCAACAACAAGAAGATGATGAAGATGAAGGCATGTTATCCGAGATAGAGCACATGTAACTCTTGAATTCTAGGTCCTATTAACTTTGGTGGATGTTTTTGTGGCTTGTTCCTGGATGTGACTTGTATTTAGATCTGGGGTTTTCTCATATATATATATATATATATATATATATATATATATATATCTTCTCGTTTGTTAGATTTTCAACCATTGTGGTTCGTCAACTATTGGTCAAAAGAGCAAGAAATTGAAAGAAAAAGAAAAGGAACAAAGACCAATGTCTTAATTGGACTTGTTGTGGTAGTTGCAGAACAAAGGCCAGCATGGCTTTTTTTTTTTGTGTGTGTGATTTGTTAATTAAAGCATAATACCATCTCCCAAGTAATTTGTAGTTAGGGGCCGTTTATCGAACACTTATCCGGTAAGTTCTTACCGGTAAAGTTTAATACTGTTATGTACTTATCGGGTAAGATTTTAGTCCATAAAAACGACATAGTATACAACAATTTACTGGTAAGCGCTTACCGTGGTAAAAGTCATCGCCCTCACTTTACCGGGTAAGACTCTTGGTTCTTGTCTCGCTCTTATTGGGTAAGATTCTTGGTCCTTACTATATTCATCGGGTGAGGTAATGTTACTTGGTAAGTGCTTACTCGGATAAACATTTGGTAAACGGCCCCTTAGAGGTAGTTATCAAATTAGTTAAAAATGGGGTTGGAAGTAAATTTAGGAACTGATTCAATCCACATCATTATCTACATGTAAGTACGGTACATTGAGATTGATTTATAGAGTTTGTTACAATTACATGGTTTGTGTTTGAAACTCCCTACATTTATACACATGCAAAAGCTCACACACACTACGCAACTTTACTGAGGTTTAAATCTTTAACCTTTTGAGTTAGATTCTACTAGTAACCCACGTACCACTACCCGTTGACCATTTGATTGTCATTTGGAAAGGAAAGGTGGATATATAACTTCCTTGAAGTGTGTACCAAACAACGGTTTTTTTTTTAAGTATATAATATTTATATACGGCAAATATAACAAATAAACTCACACATCCTCTTCACTTATAGTGAGATTTGAACCCCTGACCTCCTAGAAGGCCAAGGGCTACGATATCACTAGGACAAAGGCCCTGTGGTATGTACCAAACAACGTTGTTGGTTGTTTTAGAAGCAATACATTTTTGTAACGATGGGAGAAAAAATTATTTCTCTAGTCTAAAAGAAAAACTCCAAAATTAATGATGAATATAAGAAGTTGGCGGTCCATGGACTATGAATATAGTAAAAATGTCTAAATAAAAAAAATTTAGTTGATAAAAATATAATATATACTCATATAAAATATAAATTAATTTCATAATTCATAACCACAAATTAAACCATTTAATACGATTTAAAAAGAAATACAAACTTTAAACCGTATCGTTGATCTTCTAAACCGCATGATTTTGTGTTGTGGGTGGGTTATGTGCTAAAACAAAGATATCAATCTATACTACATTATAAATCAAATTTTATAAAAGTCTTAAAAACAACCTTGAATACATAAGATACTATTTTTTGATGCACAAAATTTGAAAATCTTAAAACAAATTCTAATGTATAAAGTATTATAAATTTATGCATAAATCATAAAAATTCTTAAATCTCTTAAAAGGTCTTACAATGTGATATGCATCATGTACAACTCATGAATGATTTTCGCTGTTGACGCTTCATTTCCAACATTCATTTGCGCCTCTTCATCTCTGGCATGGTCTCGACTCGCCTCCCCAAAATTGATTTCTTTCAAGATGACAATTCAGGCTTTCATTGATTTCTTCAAGTCAGGGTTCTTATTCCACTCAATTGAAATGATCCATCGTTCCTATATTGCATTGCATCTTCCTTCCCTTCTTCCATTTTGTGTTAGGCTTAGGATTATTTAATTTCATATTGTGTTAGGGTTAGGATTAGGATCAGGATCGTTTTCATTTTCATTTTCATTTTCATTTTCATTTTCATTTTCAATCGCATCTCTATGGTGGCTCTGCTATATTTTGTTGAAGGAATGCACGTAAACATCAGGTGGAGGGGTTCGGGAATAGGAGATTTGGTTTACATCCAGTTCAGGTGGAGTCTTTTTTGTTCTTTTATTTCTTATTACACTCTATTGAATCGTTCCCGTTAGTTTTTCTGTTTCTGTTTTTTGTAAACCTATTATGCTTAGATTGCAATAATCTTTTTCTGGTGTGTCTGATTTACAACATTTTTCTATGCCACCAGAAGAAGACTTGGTAAGTTTTTGGGTCACCAGAAGAAGACTTGGTAAGTTTTTGGGTCGCCAGAAGAAGACTCGATACGTTGAGGATTCATTCTCTTTGTTGTAGTTTCCAATTTTTGATGGTTGGTACATTTGTTATTTAGTGGTTGTTGAAATCTCTCTCATTTGCAGGCCCGAAATCTCTTCAAGTCAAGGAACTTCGATTTACAGGTTTCCATCTTTACTCCATTGCTTATTTTTTTGTTTTTGACTGCAATTGATTATTTGTTTGCCTCTACTTTTTATATATGTATAGCAATTGGTACCACAATGTGGATTGACAGAAAAGAATTCTTTTCAGGTTTGGGTGTCTCCTCTACAAAATCAAACAACATTTGTGTGGAACGTCGCCCAACCGAAAGTTGTAGGTAAGCGTTTTCCTAGATTCTCAGATGGGTATTAATTGCTCTTCCAAATATTTTCACCTTCCATTATGTGGTGTATTGTTTGTGAGTGATAAATATACGATTTTAATCACCTCAAATACTTATCTCTACCATCACTCTGTATCCATTTCAATCCAGTTCCTGGTTTCTTGGCCTAAAAAAGATCAAGAAAAGCATATTAGAACTGAAAGATAATCATAATGACTCATGCTCCCTTTGAGTCTCGTGTATTTGAATCAAAGTATAATGTACAATTAGGATACAAGAGACTATTTACTATATTATGTAATTTACATACAATATATACACACCCATTTTTATTACATATTTTTACTTACATGTTTATATTATGTGATTATCTGATATACCCCAAAGGGATGCTATTAGTTACGTTGACTAGAAGGACTAAAGGGGTAGGTTGGGTAGTTGTTTTTAAAAGGTTGTAATAACAATAGTCATTAATGGTAGGCACATTTTTGGAATTGTTAGCATTATGTTACAAGGTGTAAAAGGGGAAAAGTAGCAGGAGTAATCTGTTATATAGGTGTGAGGGGTGTAGTAGAGGGTATCTGATTTTTCACCAGCAAAATATGTAGCTTCAATGCATCCCAGGAAAGAAAATATGGTCACTCCAAGAAATAAAAACTCCACTGCAATAGACCCGATTGATTAGAAGAGACCGACCCCTAGATCTTTGTACACCTTAATGAATTCTGGTTCTGTTGGAGAAACATGCAAAGTAAACCCTCCAGCTGTTCGAAAAAATTGAAAGTACAAAACCTGCTCCTACTGCTCATTCCATATTGAAACGTTGTGCAACACCTTCGATAACTCCATCTAAGGTGGTATTTGTGAATTAAGTTGTTGTGACAAGTATCTGTTGTAGGAGAAAGCAGAGATTGAATTCAAAAGACTGCAACAAAGCTTTTGCTTTAAGGCTTGGCCACTACCTAGCTTCTATAACACATTTGAAACACGTAGAGTCTGATAAAGAAGGTATTAAAAGGGTTATCTGTAGATTTGTTTTCTTGTACACCTTATAACCATCTCTAATAGATTCTTAAAAACGGTCCGACAGAACCTCGAAAATGGAGAAAGTAGGAGAGAAATGATAAAAATTTCCAAATTTGAAAAACTCTCTGAAATAGAATTTATTTCTTATCTATACTACCTTATGTAACGACCCCTAAATCATAACACCATTTACATAGATTTCCTAAGGCAGATTACTTCATCCCATATGTTAATTTGATATATTGTCCACTTATTTAAACATTTGATAGGTAGAGTTGCAGAAGCAAGTCCTTTTCTTGAATTGATGGGAGTCTAAATTAGAGAAATGAGTCTTCAGCATCATATAAAGAAACTAGCCTAATTGGACGATCGATAGATGATTGATATCAACGTATTTTATTTTCGAGATGATAACCCATGTGAATGTTGATATCAACGTATTTTATTTTCTATGTACCATTTGATGTGGACGCATGGTTTAATAGATAGGGGCATCTAATTTTTTTGAATGAAATGATAACCAATTTACCATAAAAGGGTAAATGAAAGATCTGCAATGTACAAAGAACGCAAAATGAGAAGTAGGAACCTAAATGAATGTAGATTTTTAAAACAAAGAATTATATCGAGTATCTTTGTTTGATTTTGTATTGCTTTTTCTATTGATGTAGCTATTTTGTTGAAACGAGAAAATGTTGAATGGAAGTTGTGATTCAAATGTGGCCAATGAGGGGGTGATAGGAACACTTGTAATCCAGGTTGCCAAGGTATCCAATGTTAAAAAAAGTGTTTGGCACAGGAGATGGTTCCATCGAACAATACTTGGTTGGATGTGCAGTCAAAGCTACTACGGAACAAGATTAATCGATTCAACAATCAATGTCTGTACGAAAGGAAGTATGAAGGTGATGGTACTTCATAGCTGTAAAATATGGTAGAACGTCTCTTGTGGTACTTCAGGCGATTCTCCTTTTTATATAGTTTGCCATTTTTTGAAAGGATTGGTCAAAGGTTGATGAGGCTAAACTAAAAGTTAAATTTGATGAGTCATAGATTTTACTGATTATGGACTTTTTTGAGCCTACAATCCTAAGAAGACCCTTGGATTAGGTTTACAATATATACTACTTGTAGATACATACACAAACTTAATACCATTTTGTATTTTGTTGGTCTCATCTTCATTTCTTATCAAAGCAAATAAATGGGACCTTTGATTACATCTATGGGTTATACCATTTCCTCCCATTGCATGTTCATATCTTGCATTCAAAAAAGCTTACAACAGTTCATATCCTGCATCCAAAAGCTTACAACAGTTGATCAAGTATTTGCTTTTTTGGGAATGCAATAATATTATTTATTCTTTTGATGTGATAGACTGTAATTGGGTTTATAAACAATATATCATATTGGTAAATTTTAAAAATTGTATAAATTGACATCTTTTGTAAGTTGATCAATCCTTAGAGACACCTTTAGTTCCGTTTATTTGTTTCTTTGAGTTGTTTTTGCTACTTTTTTCTTTGTTTTGCTTTGATGGTACGATATTATATTTCGATCTTTGTTTTGACTAATGAACCATCAGTGGGGTGTGAAGTGTCAACAATAAGAGAACTTGAAACATCATGTATAACCTTTTCATTTTAGGTAATTTAGTACGTCTTTTCGTTTTTATGGTAGTGTTTTTTTGTTAGCAATTTGTTTTTTTACCTCTTCCATAAGGCAAAATTTGACACCTGAGTTCTCATAAAAGCATCAATTTCACACTTTTTCAATCCTTTTATGCAAATGCAGAATTTCGCACCTGAGGAGATACAGAAGATCAAGTTATCAATTTTTGTTTAATCAATGTAATGTTTCATTTGTAATTTTGAGCTTTTTGTACTTGATGGACGTTTCATTAACGTTGGGAATCAACTAAAAGAGCATTAACTTTGCTCAATACTATTAGGAGCAAGGGACGCATAAAGACCTCTTATCCACCATCTTTCGGATGATTTATCTTTATTAAGTACCTAAAGAAATTATATGAAGTAAGATCCCTCTACATGTACAGTTGTATAATTTACTTATTCTAACATATATTTTTACCGGTACATTAAAATCTAGATCATGATTATGCTTTTTCTAATGGCTCAGGGCCATTTACCCAACACTTATGAGTAAAAGCTTACCGGATAAATTGTTATACATGATATTCTTTTAATTTGTTTCAATATCTTGGGTTTGTGTATAGTTCTTTAAACATAATAATTTACTATTTTTTGGTAGCATGTTGTATCAAGGCATGAAGCGAATATCAATATCTCATGGTCAACAAAAACATATTCAACTATCACGTGTAGTTTCTAATATTCAAACACAAATTCAAATTTTCTTTCGATGATAAAAAGTTAGAATTAGTTTTGTATATGGGTATCAATAAAATCTTCCTGCTCGATTCATTGCATTGGTATACAAGTAGTTTATCTATATTATATTATAAAGTATTTGACTAAAAACTCTTAAAAATAATTTTTTATTTATAAATTACTATTTATTAATGTATATTACTTAAAATTCAAGATTACAAGTATGTGCATGAGTATATCTTATTAAAGCTTCATGTTTGATTCGTGTAACTAACTGCAGATAAACATAATCAAATACATAATAAACATCATTTTAAAAATTAAAAATCTAAAATATAATTAAGATAATCATTGAATTCTAACAGATTGTTTAATTATTATCTTCAAAAATTATTTTATTAAACAAAAAATAAGTTAGTTCTTTGTTAAACTTCAATTAAATCTATACTATCTATACTATATTATAAAGCATTTGACAAAAACTTTTAAAAACCATTTTTTATGCATGAAGTACTGTATATTGATGTATATTACTTAAAATTCAAAAATACAAGTAAATTATGCATAAGTACAACTTATTAAAGTTTCATGTTTGAATTCGTGTAACTAACTGCGGATAAACATAATCAAATAAAGAATAAACATCTCATTTTAAAATTTAAAAAATTTAAAATATAATTAGAATAATTATCGAATTATAACAAAATAATTAATTATTATTTTTATAAAAAAATTATATTATTAAACCAAATATAAATTACTTCATTATTGAACCTAAATTAAATTATAATAATAAAAAAATTGAATTAAAAAATTACACAAAAATAAGAATTTTAAATAGTTAATTTGATACTAATATCGATATATTTTTGTCAAAATTTTATGATATCTTCAAGTTTATATTTTATTCAAAAATAAAAACATCATCGCTTTTTCAAAATCATATAAGATCATATTATAACATTGACCGAGATAAAAAATAAAATGAAAGAATAAAATCAAGATGTATCTTGCTGTATTGCGCGAGTACCCTTCTAGTATTATAAAACATTTGACAAAAACTCTTAACAACCATTTTTATGCATGAAGTACT